TTAAAATATCCATTGCAAAATGTAAGCACCCATCTCTATTTACCGGAAAATATATAAATGAAAAATTAATAGGCCGGTCGCGCGCACACATGAATTCATATTTTGCTTACTTATGCGTTTATTAATTAAATATTAAAAGCTTTACAGATAATATAAATTAAAAAATTACTCGCTTCTGCGCGAATATAAATTCACATTTTATTAAATTTGCGCGTACAATATTTATAAACTAAAAATCCAAAGGTGCTCCCTTACACAACTCAATCCCGAATCTCATTTATTTACATACGCCATAGTTAAACATTTCATGTTTTGTGGCAAATATGTATATAAAAATTTTAACTATTCGCAAATATCAATTTTTATTTATCGAAAAGCTATCCATTTATGGGGGGTAGCTTGTATTTTTGGTTAAAGATTTTTTTTTCCCAACTCGCGTCCCCGATACATGTCGATGTTCTGCGATCAGTGTCTACGGATTCCTTTTTCGGGGGATTATATATACCTCTATATATATATATATATATATATATATATATATATATACATACGTGTCGTCTCTACCTGCAAATGGGAAAACATTGTAGTTCCCTGTGTAGTCCATCTTTGTCGGCGGGAAGGGTTAGTGTCCACGTGTGAAGTCCTCTCGTTTACACAGTAGCAATCAAAATATTTCTCGTTCTTCGACCAAAGTTTCCCGCGTTTGTACTCACAGGAGTAGTATTAACCCTCGGGGGCTTAATGTCCAGGGTAGAAGCTCCTGGCACGCGTTTGTCGCAGTTCTAATTCGTGGCAGCTGCGAGAAGCCGGGTATAGTTTCCTAAGTTGCTCTCAAAATCTTACGAAATCTCCTTCAAATTATATCTATTTTTCTCCCTTACATATTATTATTATTTTTCAACATTCTCGGACCTCTATATTCTTAGACATATACCTATACCAGGGTTTGTACCAAGGACATCATTTCTAAATATGTATTTGGTTTGAATTTGAGGACATCATTTCTATACATATTTGTTTTGAAAAGGAATTTCTTGTATCAAATAAATGATTTATTTGCCAGCAAACATTTTTTTCGCCGTAAGTGCTTCGCATTCTCGAACGGCCCCTCTGTATCTGGGGATCCTCCGAATTGTCCGCGACGGAAAATGACTTCACATCGCGTCGGCCGATAGCTAGGAAAAGACTGAGAAGAAATTTCCGAGAAGGCTTGCGAGAGAGAGAGAGAGAGAGAGAGAGAGAGAGAGAGAGATCGGGACACGCAGGCGCGGCCGCTGCCACGTGGTCGTCGCGGTCTGATCCGAACGACTAGGTGTTAACCTTTTTCGAAAATCGACTAGCTACGCCGTCGTCCTGACGGAAGAGACGAGGAAGAGGCGGCGGGCGTCGCGTCGCTTTGGCAAAACAAGTAGTTACGTGAAGTCCTGGCCCGCGGCCAAGCGGTTTTCAACTTTCCCGAGTCGAACTCGAATATTCTTTGCGGAGACGCTGCTCTTCCGCCTCTTATGCGCTCTCTTGGGGAAATGAATAAACCGCGCCGTTAATTACCGCCGATTTAAGTCCCTGGATTTAACTCTAATCGCCGCAACTGCAGGTGCGCGTTTGCCAAAATTCTATCAATTGGATCCTCGGGGGGAAGTTTTTAATGGGTAAGATGCGTTTTAAAGGTATCTCGATATGTGTAAAAAATATATCTAGATGCAAATACACAAATTAAAATGTATGTAGATACAGACACTCGGAAAGTATCTCGGATACAATGAAAAATAATACAAAATCACCTAAATAAACACAATGATAACTTATTAAATATTACGAGGCCATGTGAAACGAGCAATAAAAAATTATTATAAAACTTGGAAAAATTTTTATTTATAAAAAAAAATATCAGATTTTTTTAAATTATATTTTATTAAAATAATGGTAATATACACAAATGTTCTGAATGATTCTTTTATCTCTATTAATGTTTTCTATTTCGCCATGGTATTAAAATTTGACCAATGCTTAATAATTAAAATATGGGAAAAAATATGTGATACATGTATTTAGATACTACCCAACACTGATAAGGATTCATCTTGAAAAATGAAAATTAGCTGTGTACACTGAAACAAATATTTGTGTGAAATTACTCGTTTTTTCTCATAATAAAAAATATTCCACTGAACATGGAATTGCACATACGAAATAATATTATGCTTATAAGCTAAAATAAAAATTTAAAGTTGCAAGTGATTTTTGCATCAAAATAGCAATTTTACATTAATATATATTTTCTTTTAAAAAATTATGGAAAAGAAAATTGCGGTGATAATTAAACAATTTTTCTTATTCCAGTTTTGAACGAGTAATTTCTATGCAAAAGTACATGGATTTTGTTCAGTGTACACATGAACAAATTGAAATATAGAATATTATTTTTCTACGACAACTATAATTTTTGAACGGTACTGTACATCTCGCATGATGCTATCTCATGACAGATATGCGCGAACGGCTGATCGAACCAATTAAAATCTCGTGGCCGACGTAATTAGAAATGAGGGGAATATGTGTGCGCGTGTGTATTAGTCCGCATTAATTCTCTATAATTCTGTAATTCTGCGAATCACTTGGATTTAGATGATATCGCAGGAATTTCTGCCAGAAGTCCATCGGCGGCGAAACCGCGAAAATTCTCGCGTTCGGATCGGAGCAAAACGGGGTCCGTGAAAAATACCGACTCCGAAATTGGTGACTCTTTTTTCCCCGCAATTATATGCCGTATATAAGAGGGAAATCACGGTTAGCGAAATTATTTTCGAAGGCGGATATAAGGCGCGCGCGCTATAACTCGTAAGGAAAGTTGCTCGAATATAAGTGCGTCGTATAACGTGGGTATAAAATATTTCCAACGTCGCGATATTAGTTTGCCGACTATTTTCAGTTTGGCAGAGAACTCTGCGGAGCGCTTTTAACACGTGCTATCATCGTATCAAGGTTGCGAGAGAGAGAGAGAGGGAGGATCGCAAGATCGCGGCCAGGTAATTTGTCTTTTGTTGCTAGTAGGTATCCGAATGATACCGATCGCTCGTCTAAAGATAGCGCGCAACAAATGAGAATTAATGTCACGCCAGCTGCGCGACCATTTTTTTTCCCTCCTCGTATCCCCATCAACGACGGTAAATATGTATATGTATATATATATATATTGCTATACGTACCAATTTTCACTCACTTATGAAAACAGGAGCGGTACGAAGTTAATGAAAGCTTATGCATTTTTATGAACTGAATATTCAAATTAATAAAACGTATATTTAATTTAAAAGCCAAACTCGATCGATTAGAATACGCGGAAAATTAATTTAATAATTAGATGTGTAATTTCCCACAGTGCGGTGGTCTCTGCGCAAAATTAAAAAAAAACTAAAAAATATCCAGGAAGCTAGTTAGCCGGAATGACACATTCTTTTTTCCTTCTTTCTTTTTTTTCAAGTACAATATCCACTCGGGGGCTAAAGGATTGCTTACGGCCGTTTTGGGGATGACAGCCCGGGAGCGGCGGGTTGGGTTAGGTACGAGCAGTACGTCCGTGCACGAAGATATACTTAACTTTTAATTACTATCATATAACTAATTAGCCCCGGGTGTGGGCGGGGGTTTTGTATATTAATTTAATTTTCAATCTCACAGGGTAATTCTTGGCGCAACGTTAGTTTTAATCAACCCTCCGACGCGCTCCACACGCCAGCACGGCTCCGCAGGCGGTGGGTCGCGAGAAGTGACGGGCAGAGAGAGAGAGAGAGAGACAGAGGGGGGTGGGAGGGAGGGAGGGTGGGAGTCGAGGGGTGGCTCTCTCTCTCGGAGTGCTTCAAGGTGGAGTCGACGGGCAACGGTGGAACGGAGTACACCTACTCAGCTAATAAAAAGCGGCAATAAAAAGCACCCCTTAGGACCACTATGGATATCTCGCTTTCCACCCCCTTCCACCCTCTTTCGTTCCGCGGAATCGCGCGCGCGTCCGCGCCCCGTATTTCTTTCTCTGTCTTCCCTCGCGCGTAGACCCAGGTTTATTCACCTGCCCGGGATTAACTTTAATCAAGTATTTACATTTTAATTCGCTGCCGTGTACACACGCTTAACCGAGCCCGGCTGCCCTTTACGATAACATCGTCGTTTAATTGCAAACTGCCACTTCCCGGGGACGAGAGACGTCTGCTAGCGCGATGTCAATTCCGTTCATCTTTATACGTCTTTCGACCACTGTCGCTATAGTGTTTAGCGATGTATTCGCGAAAATTGCGAAATTGAAATGTAAAGTTAGTGCATGTCGATTTCACCTTTAAGGGGATCCTGAGCTAACCTAACTTTCATTCCTGTTTTTTTGGCAAAATGTGAGGTTAGGTCAACTATAAATCTGTTTGTTGGCCACTGTGACTTTAGTTTAGCGATGTATTCGCGAAAATTGCGAAATTGAAATGTAAAGTTAGTGCATGTCGATTTCATCTTTAAGGGGATCCTGAGCTAACCTAAGTTTCATTCCTGTTTTTTGGAAAAATGTGAGGTTAGGTCAACTATAAATCTGTTTGTTGGCTATACGGGTTATTTTTTTACCCAAAATTAGAACGCTTTGCCCTTTGTTAATATTAATACTTTAATTTGTACAGGAAAAAGATTTGTCAATCTGTATAGTTTCATATATCTTGGTTACAGAATTATGAATTCTTAGAATTATAAATTCTTAGAATTATGAATTCTTAGAATTTATAATCTAATAAGTTGTTTAATTACTGCGCTGGTTCTTTGGCTAATTTATACCATTAAAGATTGGAATAATTACGCGATTGCGTCACGTTTATTATGATAGATGTGCAATCGCGTTAGATAGAGTGTCAATAAACATGTTTGACGCTGATGTACACTCATTTTCCAAATATTTCCGTCCGTTGATAATTTTTCAGGCTCTATCGTAGATAACATAATTTCCGGACAAATATAAAGAATACAGACATATAAAAAATAAGTAACAAGAGATATATTAATTAAAAGTATCGTATATTATAACCTACAGCTACATACAGTCATATATACTACGACTATATCGAAACATTTTACGATTTAATTACGCTGATATTTCATAACACAATTTTTATGAGTTACGAGCTACGTTAAAAAAAAATTAATTTTATGTAGGCATGCATAATTAATGACTGAGCGCGTATTAATGAAAAATGTAAATCCGGGGCTTACAAAAACGTCGAACGGTGAGCGCTTGCGCGCTCTTTTTTCTGAAATAATCCTCGATATATTAATCACAAAGAGGATTTATTACTTAGAGCGGTCGGATAAATATTATGCTCGAGGTTAATACCTAAATGGACCACATCAGCGCGCATTATTATCGATATGCTTTCGCGGTCTCGTCGACGTTTGTGCCAAACATTGTACATTCAATCTATGAATTTCGCGCTTCTAATTAGCCTCGTCAGACAATTTCTGAAAATGAAAATACACACATATATATATATAAATTTATTTTATTGGCTGCGTAATCAGTACTCGGTTCAGATAAGATTTAAATTGTAAACAAAGTACACACACACACACATATATATATATATATATATATATATGTGTGTGTGTAACTGAAAAAAGATATATGAAGCGCACATAAAGTTCTCCGACAATTTTTCCTCCGCGAAAATGTCGAGGCAATAATTTTCAAGTTATAAATGATTGAAAAAGAAGAGCTTCTCGCGGACTAAACTTTGCGGAGTTAAAATATTAACAAAATTACATTCTTCAGTTAATTTCAGATAGAGTTTACTTTAATAGAATTACAAAGATACACGAGGGCAAAAAATGATGACCTCCCTCGACATTTTCGTCGAGGAAAAATCGTCTCCAAATTGGCCAAAATAATCTGATGATAATGTACTCCATATATGTTTCTTTTTTTTTTTTAGTTACAACTCTGTAGATACTTTCGAAAATATATCGCACTCGCTTTGGCAAATTTAATCAAACTCTTTTCTAAGAACTTAATTTGCAATACAAACCTATCAAATCTGTCACAATATACACACGGCACATTCACATTGCTCGATCGCGCCAGTGTTGCTAGCCATTCGTATTGACTTGTTTTGTACTCTCTTCACGAGAGGCGCACCACGTGTGTGTACGCGTGAGCGCGCGCGCCTGTGTGAGTGCGCGAGTGCGTGTGAGTGCGTGCGTGCGCGAGTGCGTGCGGAGGCAAACTGGAGTGCGGAGAACGAAGGAGAGGTAGGAAGAGTAAACAAGAGAGCGAGGGGGATTCCTACGAGATGGAGGGACAAGGATGGAGCTCGAACAGAGACGGACGAATTTACGAGGGAGGGAAACCGAGAGATAGACAGAGATAACCCGACCGTGCATAGGTATAGAGGAAACAAGAATGAGAGAGAGGGAGCGAAAGATGGGTAGATAAAGTGTATCCGAAACGGAGATGGAAATACGGGAAGATACGCACATTGGAAATCGCCGCTGCAAAACGGAGAGTGATAGAGTGACGGGTGTCTGAAAAGGATGGATAGGAATGAATGCGAGAGAGAACGAGTGAAAAATAGGAATATATGCAAGAAAGAGAGAGAGAGGTTGATCGAGGGCAAAGGAGAGAAGGAGAGGGGCAGCAGGGTACACACACACACATTCGCGATAGAGAGAGCGTGGAAGAGGAAGATAGTGGGTGAACGCAGATAGAATGTGTACAGAAGGGGGCTGGGGTAAAGGGAAAGAGGCACGCAGGCGCACATGAGTATGTTACGGGGATGGCCAGAGGGCAGCTAACGTTTATAATATTAACGCTAATGGACTACCTTATACCTTATATACCGACCCTCGCTAGTCCTCCTCTTCCTCTCCGCTACGTCTCCAGACACCCTCCTCAGTCCTCGGCGAAGTACAGGATAATATTCATGGATGTATTCAAGCTAATGCACCAAGGCAAGTCCATTGCAATAATAACTAAGTAAGTAACAGTGCTGATTTTTAATTATTTTATCATTAGAGTCGCGCGAACGCACACACACATACACTTCGATTTTTATTGAACATTTGATATAGAGAGAGAGAGAGAGAGAGAGAGAGAAAAAGCGAAATAATAATCTTGGATGCGGCCAGTAAATCCGTTCATATTTTATTTTCTCGATAGACACTTGCAATTTTTGTTTCGCACGCAGATTACGCCGGATGTTTGTACAAAAGAGTCTTTCAAAATTTCGTACGAAAATCTTCGATTCTCACGTCCATTATTCTTTTAATTTTTCACATTACGTACGCGTGATACACTGGAATTTTACAATTCCGCAGTAACCCGCGTAAAAACTTGTCAATTCCATATGGCGCGGCCCACCTGTCGCGAATCTCAATCCAGTCACCCCGTAGAGCACTCTGGGATAATGTATGGTAACGGAACGCCTAAGTAAAAGCCGTTTCGCGTATGTATGTGTGAGTTTATATCGGCTGGCGAATGCGTGCGTGTAGGTAGACTAGAGAGACTCGTTGTGATATTTATTCCGCATTTCTGGCATTATTTTTAATGTTAATCGCGCGGGGCCACACTCAGCTCTATTTTTCTATTTTATTTTAAATACCATGGTTTAATGAAGAGTAAAAAAAGAGACGGAAGGGGGCGCCTCTTCTGTCTCTATTTACTCATGCAATAATACTGATAAACTTCCTGACATTGTTTATGTTTTCTTAAAAGCAATGTTATTTTATCAGTAACAAAACACGCGCGACTCTTAAAAATATTTAGTGTTTAAACTCTCTCGAATGTGAATTTCCAGTATTTATCCGTCCGAGTGAATCTTACTGTCTTTTTCCTTTTTTTTTTGTTTTAATGAGAATGAGATAATAGCGCGAATGTAAACATGGTGACAATTTTGTTCCGGGGAGGAAACTTTGCTGCAAATGAAATAAATACATTTGCTGTGTGTGTGTGTGTGTGTGTGTGTGTGCATATAATCTCATCTCGTATCTTTAATAGGCTTAATTGGATTACGGTGTTTTCCTTCTTATTTAAAATATAATGCGAGATAGATATTAGACAATTTAGATAGCTGTAAAACGGTTGTGAATTTCTAACTGCGAGATAAATATATCAGAGAGTTTCTAAGTATATTAGGAATACATTGCCTTTGCTGAATTATTCGAGTGCTTTCAAGAAATTGCAGGATGCATTAGCTTACATTACGGCAGTTCCATTACATTATGAATATTACTCCGTATATTGATGAGAAGAGGGGCGGAGATGTAGGGCTCTCGATATATATGACTGTGGTGCATTTTATTATTTCTAACATTCCCCTGATGCGTCAATATTGGCTCCGCTTGATTAATGGAACGTATCTTTCAATCATTAATAATATTATGTTAATGATAATAATTATATATTTATATATAACAATTTATTAAATTATATTATATTCAAAATAATGTAATGAAGATTGGAGAATTACTTTATTTTTTTTTTTAATTATAAACTTTAAAACGCTAGAGAATTTTTCATGTCAATAGCAAAATTTTTTTTAAAGTTTCAAGATATTGGCTCCGCTTGATCAATGGGACGTATCTTTCAATTATTAATAATATGTTAATGATAATAATATAATAATTATGTATTTCTATATAACAATTTATTAAATAATTATATTCAAAATAATTTAATGAAGATTAGAGAATTACTTCATTTTTTTAATTATGAATTTTAAAAACACTAGAGAATTTTTCATGTCAGTAGCGAATTTTTAAAAAAAATTTCAAAAACCTGTAAAGAAAATCCATAGTTGTGGGGACACGTACGAATGGATAATGATTCAATAGCGTTCAATGGAGTTCGATAGAAGTAAGTTGCCCTTATGGCCGATTTCACGGACCTTTCTCAAATTCTCGTTAACGAGTGTTAAATTGACGATCGATTTTTCACGGGTCGTTAAAAGTAGAAGTAATTCAATTGCCGTCAGCGCGCTAATCCGTCGATGCCAAAAAGTAGACGAAATGTATTTACGATATATAATTATATAATTGTCAACAATTTTAATGCGAAACGTTATCAAGCGTCATACAGTCGCCGCAGGGAGTTTTAAGCCCGTTTTACAATACGTCGTATGTCAGATGTCGGAACGAAAATGATTCTCCAATGAAGAAATTTTGTTTTCGAAATAGTATATTGTGTATCAAGTGCGGAAAGTTGACAATTGGTCACGAGTGCGGGGGATGGACGCACGAGCCGAAGGCGAGTCAATCCGCACGTGATACACATACTATTTTGTATTACAAGTGCAGGCAAAGTGGCTGTTTCTGCGCGCGAGGCGGCCGATCGCACGCCATCTTGCCGCGGCACGGTGGGGGAATAGCCGTGTTCAATACATTGCCTACGGCTTCAGCCGTATACAATGACTTTTAACGCGGCTGAGCCGTAGATAATGGCTTTGAACGCGGCTTATTCACTCACCGCGTCGCCGCTAGATGGCGGCGTGGGAAATCGGCCGCTTTCCGCACAGAAAACACGCACCGAAAGTGCCACTTTGCCTGCACGTGTAATACAAAGAAATTTTCTCATTAGACTATCGCTTACGTTCCGACATACGTCGTATGTCGCAGTCGGATGTCGGAACGTAAGCGATTGTCCAATGCGGAAATTTTGTTTTCGAAAAGAAATGCGACCTACGACGTATTGTAGAACGGGCCTTAGAGGAATTGTTATACTCGTGTAAAAAAAATTCTACGCGTTCGTGGGCAAAATCATCATCATCAGGAGTTAGTTTATCGAGAAATACGTGTGTCACGCGCTTATGCGCACATACGTCGCGAAGAATAGCAGCGACCATCTGACGCATCCTGAAGGCTGAAGGTGTGGACACACGTTTTACGTTACGCTCGGTTCGAAATGGCGACGTATGCGTGCATATAATTGTAGGAGAGAACCCGGCTAATGTAACTCACGATTTTCCACGACCAGAACCGAGAGGGAACGACGTGAAAAGAGGATGGTGGGGAGGTAGGGAGGAGGATGTGGGATGAGGAGATGGAGGAAGAGGTGGAGGGGAAAGGGGGATCAGGAGAGCGCGCAGGCAGCAGCCCCGGCTAATTAAAACCGCGGATGGTAATTAATTAAGCAGACGTCAGAGGAGATCTTAGAATTCTACGCAGCCAGAGATTCCCGTGTGTTCTGGAATGTGACGATTACGTAGAATCGAACGGTATCGCATTTTTGCATGACTATCTCTCTCTCTCTCTCTCTCTGTCTCTTTCTCTCGTTGATGAGCGAGCAAAATTAAATTTATACGCAGATATGATATATTATTAGATATTTTTTGAGAAGGAAGCACGATGAAAGTTCAGCGCGGGAGATGATATTGCATATATATATTAGAAAGTTGTTGTATTAATTAGGTCCTCTGTCCTCGTATCTTTGCGATAAATCAAAGGAGATGAGAGGAGCGCTGGACATTAGCCGAATCCAATTAGTCGTTTAGACATATACTCGTTATTAAGCGGTCGAGCAGCCTTTCACTTTGATTTGAGAAGGAATAATCGCGATCAAAATCTAACATTATATTCTCCCGATGGATTATTCATAAATTAGTTCAATTTAATGGAAGCCTTTCACTCTTTCGATACTTTGACCTTTACTTTACCTGGCGCGCGAACAATAACTCTCTTTATCGAGACAAGAAAAGTGTTGATACTATGATTATTGTTTCTCGTTAAGATATGTATCTGCGTGCCTGGTTAAGAATTCGCAATTCTATAAAAGATAGACCGAACAAAAATATTTCTGTGAAATTACATTGATTACGCTGGGTTTTATTTTTTTTCGATCCATACGGAAGATTACAGATTATATCTATAATTTTCATATGAAATATGGTCTTATATTTTTTCATAATTAAAAATGGAATTGCACATACGAAATAATGTTATAAATAAAATGGATTAATGCTTATAAAACAAAGTGAAAAGTCACGTCATTTTTATATAAAAATAATAATTTTACCTATATTTTACATTAACATGTAAATAATGTTTTCGCTTTAAAAAATACGGGAAAAAATTACAGTGATAATTAAGTAACTTTTCCAATTTGGAACAAGTAATTTCCATTGTAAAAAAAAGTACATGGATTTTTTGCAGTGTGGTATATTTCAAAATAAAAAAAGCCCGTCGTATCGATGTATTAGACAATAAGAAGAAAAGTTTACACACACATATTGATTTAATCGAATTTTACGTAATTAAAGTCTGTCTCCGTCACCATTCTCTCCCTACCCGAAATAATTACGGACTCAGGTGTTCCATTGCGTTCGTGTCTGCGTTACACCTGTATCCGCTCGTATTTACTTGTACAAATACTCGTTCGTATCGAAGAGACCGTCGAGCGAAAGCACGAGAAGAGAAGCGAAAGAGAGAGATAGAGAAAATCAGAGGGAGTAAAGTAGGTTTACTCGCGGAGGAAGCAGAAACGGCGGCAGCAAGATAATACGAAAGCCCTTAAAGGAGGCAAAAAGCGAATTGCCGTAAATCTCGACGCGGGTTGGGGG